GAAGGTTGCCGGTTCAAATCCCGCGGCCGGCAGAGGAATCCTACTCCGTTGGGCCCCTGAGCAAGGCCCTTAACCCCAACTGCTCCAGGGGCGCTGTATAAAAGACTGACCCTGTGCTCTGACCCCCAGCTTCTCTCTCTGTATGTCTCATGGAGAGCACGCTGGGCTATGTGAAAAGACAAATTCCTAATGCAAGAAATTGTATGTGGCTAATAAAGTGATCTTAATATCCCCAGAGGTTTCTAGCCTCTGCCCAATCGCTGTGTGAAGAGACTGCAAGTCTAGCCACACACAAAGAGGAGGGGAAAAAACCCAACTCTTTAAACACCTCCAAATTGTGGAGCAACTTCAGCGATTCAATCGCCACCCTCAATCTTGTGGATATGGCAGCACAAAGGATGTTCTTGAGCAATCAGGGCCACGTAATTACTTTACAGAGGAAAGGAAACATGGGGCTGCGGCCAAGGAGCGCAGCATGCAGAGGCACCGTCATGAACCGCGATGAGAAGGTGGCTAAATATGTAGTGAAGCTGAGTGAGGCCAAAGGCGTCAGCCTTGCGAAGATCTTGAAAAGCAGCAGTAACTATTCACAAGTGCCCATCAAGCAGGCGAGGCTGGGGTTAAGGCAGGCCCAAGAACTAGCACACCAAATACCCTTTTCCAGAAGGGGACCTTAAAGGTCATATTAAACACCTACAGGGGTTCAGGAGGTCAGATTGTAATAATAATAATAATTGCTTACACTTATATAGCGCTTTTCTGGACACTCCACTCAAAGCGCTTTACAGGTAATGGGGATCCCCTCCACCTCCACCAGTGTGCAGCCCCACCTGGATGATGCGACGGCAGCCATAGTGCGCCAGTCCGCTCCCCACACACCAGCTCTCAGTGGGGAGGAGAGCAGAGTTATGAAACCAATTCATAGAGGGGGATTATTAGGAGGCCATGATTGGTAAGGGCCAATGGGAAATTTGGCCAGGATGCCGGGGTTACACCCCTACTCTTTTCGAGAAACACCCTGGGATTTTTAATGACCACAGAGAGTCAGGACCTCGGTTTTACGTCTCATCCGAAGGACGGCGCCTGTTTAGTCTGCTTTCTTGTGTATATAAACCCCCTCACCCACAGCTCTGCACACATTGCTTTTAGCACCACTGCCTCCACCCCATCTTTACCCTTGGAGCAGCTCCCTGGCTCATTCCTTAACACTGAGGAGGTTCATCTCATCAGTTGTATTGCTATTCATTTCTGCGATAATACCTGGAAAAGACACTTTTGCGTTTTCGGGGGAACCACCAGCTCTTCAGTTCGCTGCAGTTGGAGCCGGTTCAATCCAGCACTGCAGTTAATTAGCTGTTCTCCAGTTAGTCCTCCGGTGTTGCTTGAGTGCTAAAATCATTTACCTACGCAATCCAAAACTGATAGCTATTTAAGACTCGGCTAGCTGCTGAAGATTCACAGTTCTTAGCCAGAAGCCCAGGTTCCAACTGGTGGAGTGGCAGATCATTCACTGATGTCACTAAAAGCATGCTAATCCCCGCCCAGTTAATGCCCACATTACACAGGCAGCACTCTGCACTGCACCACCACCTGGGGAATCCAGGCCTCAGATAGCTACATAACCCTGGCTTGAACCAGAGACGTCTTGTGCTCCAAGTGAGATCTTGGACTCGCTGAGCCATAGGGGACAGAACTTCACATGACCAAGCTTCGATTTACAGTGCCTTAGCCATGCGCTACACACGAGGACTCTTCTGCTCACAGTGCGGATTCACTTTCACATTAAACAGCGCACTCGTCACGATGTGGAAACATGCCTGGAACCGGCTGGTTGACTCTCGTCCCAACCTCCCCTCCCGCTCGGACACTGTCTAGTAAACATCATTGTCAAACAACACTGTCTTCCTGACTTTACCTAGTCTCTGTCGCCCTTTATACAGTGCCTGCTGGTGATGCTGAGGCAGGCGGTGGAAGTGAGCAGCTGAGCAGGCGGTGGTCCCCGCTCCTGGGGAAGGCTTATTGCCTGGACTACTGCAGTGGGGCCTGCTAGTCATGGAGGCAGAGAGGACAGGGGCAGAGAAGAGGGAGGTGCAGCTCCTGAAGAAATCCCAGATGGAAAGAGGGGGAGCAGGAGTCTCAGTCCTTACACGGCGGGGGGGCAAAGGGGAAAGGGTGCATTCTGGGGGGAGCGGATCTCCAGTAATGTCACGCTCCCGCGCTGGGACTAGCAGTGCTATCTGCAGGAGTACAGAGAGCCCAAGTGCTGGGCAAGAAGCAGCCGAGCTGGGGAACCTGCAGGCTGCACGGTTACGGGAGCAGGGCGGAGCCAAGTGAGCCAAGCACACAGGCCCTTGGGTGCTGTGGCAAGGTAGGGACTGGGAGGCACAGGAGAGCCACGCACACAGGCAGGGAAGTCTGAGGTCAAGCAGGCGAGGGTCATGATCAGGAAACACCATAGACAGTCCCTAGCCAGGCCAAAACCAGGAGCTAATGTCATTAAGGCCAGCGGGGTCTATCTTGGAAAACGCCCTGAACGGGTGTGGGCGGACCCCGTGTCCAGGTAGCTGGTCTCTGCAGCAGGCAGTGAAGCAACTGGCAGCCATGTCCGAGCTAGTTCTCCCTGCTGCTCGGCAAGGAGGAAACTGCAAGACAGAAACCCAGAAAGTGATAGGCCGCCTGTGAAGAAACAGACAAGCGAGATTAGTACAGAAAGAGGAAATGTTTGATATGCTCTCTAGGCGTATCTGAGGAGTATGGCCTTAAGGAGTCCACTATGCTTACAACTTAAAGCTCAGTGAATGGTTCTCTTCTGCATTTTCATCATCATTAAGGGCTCGCCGTATTTCCTAGATTAGACATATACAGGACTTAACGTAAGGTCTTCTACAGCTGTACAAGACATTCACTGAATTAAGGGTACAGTTACCTATAAATCATGTCCGTGCCTGGTTAGAAATATTAACGTTCTGCAACAAATTAATTAGACCAACTGTGTAACATGGAGGGAACAAAGTTACCAGGCCCTTTACGTCATGAGCTTGAGATCATGGACTAAAGATTATACCTCGAATGAGAGCAAATGTTCAGTTCATGTTACTTTCTGATGTTAAACAGTTATGTACATCACAACTCTGAGGTCTCAGAGGTGACAAAACAGTTTTCAAATCACATTAATAGAACCGTATTAATCCTCAAAGTGAACTGGTCCCAAAAGCACTGGCGTGAAATACAGGCTACAACTTTTTACCTCCACTCTGTATAAAGTGTTTTACTGAACACATCTCATTTGTGCGAATAGGTTCGACTCAGAACGAAATTGCTGAAGAGGTTTCTGCTGGAGATTTATTTTAAAAAACATTTTTTGTATACCTTGGTGAACAATTAGTCTGGTCTAATGAGCGTAACTGATCATTGCAATGGAAAACATACACTCATATTTCCATATTTCATCTCAGGTCCTTTTAGACATTTCCACAGCTTGTGGGTCCAGTTCACAGCAGTTTCCAATGAATAGAAGATAGGGGTATTAGATCAGGGATTCACACTAGTTTCAGAGCCGAAAGAGGTGTGTCGTCACAGACATCAATGCTCAACAACTGTCTAAACATTTAATTTCTGATTTCATAAGATCACTTTATCGGCCATGTACAATTTTTTGCATTAGGAATTTGTCTTTTCACACACCCCAGCTTGCTCTCCATGAGACACACAGACAGGGAGAGGAGCTTGGGGTCAGAGCGCAGGGTCAGCCATTTATATGGCGCCCCTGGAGCAGTTGGGGTGAAGGGTCTTGCTCAGGACCCCAGCGTAGTAGGATTCCGCGGGATACGAACCCACAACCTTCCAGCCACAAGTGCAGATCCTGAGCCAAAGAGCCACACCTCCTCCTTCCCTGCGACTCAAAAATATCCAAAGCTCAGAACAGAAATTACTGAAGCCTCTTCAGTTCTACTTTTCAGCTACATTAGATGCTGGCTGCCAAACCCAATGCATCTACACATTTCACAAGAAGAGTCTATAATAAAAATGACAAATAGCCAGCACCCTCAGGGAAATATTGTCAGGCGCTTGAAGAGAACACAAAAGAAGAGTGTAGCATACTGAAATCTGTTATAGCCCCTCTAGGCCCGAGCTCACAAGTCCTATTACACTGTTAGGAGCTAACAGAAGAGAGCCCTCTCCACTATCTGCTTTCAGAACAGAAGTAACGTTCACATCACCAGACTCCTATGCAGTTCAGTGACAATTTCAGATCCGGGATGACACACTCCTCTTTGGCAAGAGCTCCCAAGCTGTTGTTTTCCTTTTTCCGTGATGAAACATTTTGGGTGGAAAAACACTTTTTCTCAGAACTGCATCTCACTCAGTCAACAAATATGATGAGAGACCATTTACTACCCTTATTTTCTGTTCATGACATTCCTAACAATCGTGAATTAAACCTGTGCATGAATCTGATTTGCATTAGAGTTGCTAAAATGATCTATAGCATGAGACCACCCTGATTTCATATTTACGAGAGAGAAACTGTTCAATGCTCTAAAGTCACAGTTATCACAAATCAATGGATTTCTTAACAGCCTTCATGTATTAATGTTTGTGTCTCATCTTTGTTTTTACATACATCACAGACCTCTGGTCCCAGACTGTAGAGCTCAGAACCCCATGAAATCTGGTGAAGTGTGATGTTTGAAAATTAGAAGCAGGCAGATGGATTTCAAGTTGAAATTTTGTCAGAGAAAAAGAAATGTGAAAAATTAAACTGAAAGCGTTTTCCCTAAACACATAGCAGGTCTGCATTAAGAACAGAACTAATAAGACTGATAGGGAATATTCAGCTTTAGAATCTCTTGAGAAGGTTGTTTCTTTTGGTTCTTTTAAAAAATTCACATTTGGTTATGAAAAAAAACAACAGAGCACTGTACAAATACTCCTGACGTACAGATGGTGCTAAGCTATACAGCTTTCTAAAAAAAATAATAGTTATGCCAACTAGTTACCATCATGCACAAAAATCTGCACAAACTTTGCAGAAACTTTATTTTTTCCAAAATCGCAGAACTGATTACAACCATTTGGGTAAATAAGCATAAAATCGTTTTCTTTAAATGAAATCTTGTTACAAATCTCTGCTACTTGCACAAAGTGCACCATTAACGCCCTTTAACACTCCATTTGACTAATTTTAAGAGCTGTTGGACAATAACTGGGTTAATGAAGGATCAGAAGTCAAAGAACATATTTTGGTTAAAATTCTGAAAAAAAAATTAAGTTATTTTAAGTTAACTGTGTTTTATTTTGGGCAACACATTTAAGTTTTTTGTTGACATGAGGCATACAAGTTCTCCTCTTTCAGGGCTGTGGGGAACCACAGCTGTGAAGCCGGCTCTGTTCCAGCACAGTTCTCCTCTCCAGGGTCTCCTGCGCCCCGGTGTGTCTGAAGCTCTGCGCTGCTGCCAGACTCCAGACACTGCCGGGATTAGCTGTCACCCAAACCATCACAGTCCCTTTCTCCAGCTTGTTCCACATCTCCATCGCTCTGTGTTTGCAGAAACAGGCCTGGTCGGTCTGATAAGAGGTCCTCGCTCCGTGTTGGGAGTTGGGTCTCTACTTTTGAATTCAACCACTGTCCTGCTCTGGAACTCCCCGTCAGGTCACTTTCACCTTGGACAAAGCCTTTCCTACTCACTTCCACTTTACCAAGTTTCCTGCCATTGTTCAGTAATTCTGCATGAGGTTCTCTGCCTCCTCTCACTGGCACAGGTGTATGAGTCTTCAACAAAGGCTCAAAGTCCATCTTCCAGTGAATATTCGGCCTGCCTGTTACTTCCCCTGAATCCCTGCCAGGCCAAAGTGATGATCCTGCTGCTCCTCCTCGCACGTCCCCGCAGAGAGGAGGGGACCCCGCCGTCTGGTCTTCCCCGGGCGGTGCCCCGTCTGCTGGCTCCATGCGGGGTGCAGGATGCTCCTGAGGTGCGACGCGGCCCCTGCTGTTTTCCAGGTGCTCCCCTGCAGTCCCCGAAAGCGATCTGGCACCGCACCCGCGGAGAGCAGGCGGAGACGAGAGCTCCGTCGGGGTGCTGGGCGAAACGGGGCTGGCGAACCCCTCAAAGTCCACAGCCGCGCCGCAGCGAGAGCCCCGCACCGCCGCCCCGGCTCCCCCCCGGGGGTCCGCCGGGGCCTCCTGTCCCCGCTCCCGGTCTGCCCCCCACTCGGCCCGGAGGCCTGGAGCCTCGCCTCCCGCCCCCTCCCTCCGGCCCCCGCCGCCCTCGGGGTTTCGGGCTGCAGGGGGCTGGTCCTCGTTCAGAGGGGACGCCCGGGGCTTCACGGGCTGGTGGCACATGGGGCAGGTCTCCTGGACATACAGCCACTTGCGCAGGCAGCTGGCGTGGAAGAAATGGCCACAGTACGTCACTACCGCCGAACTCATCTCCTAAAGGGCAGAGACAGAGGTGAGAACGTTTATGGCGTTAACAGCGTTTACAAGCCCACACAGCTAAAACCGAAGGGGGCAGATAACCACGTTGTTACTCCCATGACAATGCCAGGCAGATGTTCGACGATTGTGGAAAATGGGTATCGTTAAACATAAGGGAACCTGTTAAAACACACACTTGTTTCTGGACAAGATTAGTACACCTTTTATAAATAACACTCAAAGCAAATGACAGCACATTTTCTTGCAACCTGAGCTGCCTGACTTCTCTGTGCATTTTAAATAACTGAACTCCTTTTCCAATCTGGGAAGGCGTTAATTAAGTACAAGTTTGTTTAAAATACTGGTTGATACAGGGAAGGCTGTAATGCATCAAATGTTCATTCACTGCTAGATTCAAATCAGTACAGAACAATAAAGAAAAATGAGCAATTTTCAATAGAATCACACACCTTCGATGTTTGTGCAAAACTATTTCAAATCTCAAAGAGATAAAACATCATTTCAGAAAGGACAGGAAATGTGCCCAATCACTTACAGTGCATCATGAAACATCATTTGCATCAAACTGAGCATCATTTTAACTTTTTAATTTAATCCTAAAATACACAAAAGAAACAAAATCTCATCACTGAATTAAATTCCTTAACATTGAAGGCAAAAGTGAAATCCAGTTCACATTATAAATCATCATTATTTTATTAACCGTGCAAAAAGAAATTATAGCTGGAAAGCAAGTCAGCATTTTTAAATTTGTCATATTTTTCTTGTCAGTATTAAACACCAACACTTGCTGGAGTTCAGGCAAAGACCAGTCTGAATCAGGTTATCTTACTATAATGTGACTGACCTTAGTGCAGAGTGAATATCAGATTTCACTGTGACAGGAATACTCCAGGCAGAGTTTTTCAACCCTGGTCCAGATTGGCAATAATCGTACATCACTGATGTCTAAATAAACCTGTTCATTTCAAACAGTGCTACTCCTTGGAGGCTGAAGACTATACTCTAAATTACACCATTTATGTAATTACCCATTTAACTGATCACAATGAAATTGGTCAAAGTCCTTAGAAACTAGTGACCCTGGTAGTGACCCACAGAGCCTTCCACAACAGGACTGCACACCCCTACTGACCCTACTGACCTGGAAGCAGATGGCACAGACGTCATTGTGCAGCTTCAGCTGGTCCTCTGTGGCGCGGGGCAGGGAGTTGATCTTCTTGGCAGCTTCCTGTCTGAGCAGGAAGCTCCTCCAGCCGGACTGGGCGCGCAGCCAGACGTTGAAGTAGGAGTGGATGATGATGACCGAGGCGCCCATCCAGCTCCACTCCCCGAAGAGCGACTCCCAGGTGCCGTACCCCACCACGCAAAGCGCCACCAGGAACTCCAGCACGCGGCTCACGGCGTTGACGTAGTAGATGATCTCGTCCAGACTCTCGATGGGGTCCCGCCGCGCCAGCTCCACCATGAACAAGGAGTAGATCAGCAGGGTCCCCGTCACCTGCGCCACGACAACGCACACCAGCGGCCGTTAGAGCCGCTGCTCGCTCCTGGGCGTCTTTAGAGCACTTCAACTCCAGGAAACCAAATTTCAGCATGAAGCCTAAGCTTCTTGAAAATGCCAAAAGAAATACATACTGCACATATATAAAGAGAAAAGGTGAAATTGAATTCCCAAAAGTCAACACAAGGCATAAGAAGAAAATATGTTGAGTAAAAGAGCTAATTCTTCACGGTCAAGCTTTTTTTTTTTTTTTTAATTTCGGCGTTCACTTTTTTTAGGGAAATTCTTATGCGATTTTAATTTTGTTCATTGAAACCTCAGAGGTTTTCAATTCTCCTAGAAATCACTTTCTTTAGGAATTTTAAGACACAAAACTGATTTTTTTTGTTTTTCTGAATTTAAAGCATTCCCAACAGCAGCTGGTGCATATAATTCTGCTGGTTTCTTACGTACCTGCAGTGAAGTCAGCATGCAGCTGGAGACCAGGATCAGGAGCCAGAAATCCATTTGGAAGAACTGCGATATCTTCCAGGCCATGAAGACAGGAAACACGAGCAGGAACAGGCACATACCGAGCCCCCTGAAGTGCTTCCACAGGCTCCTGTCAAAAGATAAGTACAGGACCCCGTTAAGACAGTCTAAATTCCAGGTCCCTGGTACTGGAAAAGAAACAATCCCCACTTTGTAACCACACTGTGCACAGAAGTATAGCTCTGACCTGTTTCGGGAGGCACCCAGTGCCAGGATGATGGGGTCGGTGATCTCGATCATGGACTGCAGTGTGGAAGTGACCACGATGAAGAGGATGATGCTGAGCAGGAAGGTGCGCTGCAGCACCTGCATGTCCAGGAGCCCCGTCTGCAGAGCCAGCAGGAGCAACGTCACGCCCTCCGTCACCCCCCTGCGCCCACAAACACAGACACAACAGCACGGTCAAGTCACACGAACGGCCAGCGTCACGAACCTCTGTCACCCCCCTGCGCCCACAAACACAGACACAACAGCACGGTCAAGTCACATGCAAACTGCGAACATCACGCCCTCCGTCACCCCCCTGCACCCACAAACACAGACACAACAGCACGGTCAAGTCACACGAACGGCCAGTGTCACGAACCTGTCACCCCCCTGCGCCCACAAACACAGACACAACAGCACGGTCAAGTCACACGCAAGCTGTGTGCAGAACGCATTTTACATGTATGGTTGAGCCACAAACATAATTCTAAACTCTTCTTTGTCCACATGCCCAAGAAATACAAATGTATTTTAAATGCTTGTTGCATGCAGGTAAGAGAATGATTAGGCAGACAAATTTGTCAAACACTTTTATACAGTTTCTGCAGTTTTTCCTTAGTGAAAGGTAATACTTGAACCAAAAGAACAAGTAAAGGTTTATTCCATGCTGAATAGAAAAGAAACAACGTTTCGGCTGTGGAGCCTTCTTCAGGTGTGAGCATGGAATAAACATTTACTTGTTCCTTTGCAGCCTGCACATGCTGACACTGTACCTACTTGAAACACTTGAACCAAGCAGACCACTGCACAGTCCCTAAACAAATCAAAGCCTGCTTTTATACATACTGTAACTATTACTCCATAAAGAGGTAAAAGGTATCTCTTTTTGCTAGGTTAGGTGGATTAAATACTAAAACCCCTCAATTTATTCTTTTAGTTTTCAGGTGTCATTTAATTAGATTTTAGTGGCATCATTAATAAAGACACTCAGCTGTCAGTACAGTCAGGGAATGGATGTAAGCTTTCACCACGCTGAAACACTGAGTTTCTACTTATGAAAAATACTTAAGTGTTTCTGTTGACATTGCTTTTATGTTCTAGACAAAGTGGGGAATCAATAAAAAAGACAAAATGTTAGGACACAAATAAAGTGTAGAATTTAAATCAAGGGATGTTGAGTCAAAATTGTAAGACCACATTTACATGTACGGTGTTGTTCACCATGCCACAAGAAAGATATTGCTGCTCTGAATCAGAACAGACAAAGGCAACTAGGGGGCTTAAAGCAAGGTCCTACACAGACAGTCCAAAGGAACTGAACCTTTATTGCCTGGAACGGAGAAGACTATGAGCAGACACGATCCAGACATCCAAAATCATAAAAGGTGTTTACAACGCCACCACAATTTGCTTCTTCAGAGTGAACAGTGAAACACAAACCAGAGCTCACACGTGGGAGCTATACGGGAGTGCATTTAAATCTGAGAACTGAAGACACTTTTTTACAGAAAGGGTTGAGGCGGTGCGTTTCGAGAAGCAGCGGGATGAAATCCTTGGATCAATTAGCTACCAGACGGGTCAGGTGAAGACCGAGGAGCAGAAGCCAAGGACAGAAACAATGCAGTGCGTAAGGATGCACAGCCACACGTTGGCTCACCCAGCTGCGGGGGCGCACAGGCCTTACCTGTGCATAACGTTCTCATTCTGGACTGCAGCGTAGCCCCCCAGGTAGAACTTGCAGAGGTTGAGAAGCCCCAGTGCCAGGTAGGACACCACGAAGGTCAGACCCAGCAGGGAGTACGGGCTGGAGCAGCACTCGGACACACTGCAAGGCCGCACACAGGTGAAATTCCCAGAATTTGAATTGAATTTGACTGCTGTTTTCTCTTCTAGGAGTCGGTGCTCAAAGACATTGATTATAGGGCGTTATAAGGTGACTATACCCTGTCCCACTATATGCCGGCTGTTGCCGCCCCTATATGCCGGAAGCCAGAACAGGCAAACACCCATCCATAAGGTGGCAATGAAACCTTCCATTTCTACATTAAGGAAAGCAGATCAGTCCTACCGGCTATCCTTTTAGAGGGTAAAAGTATTCTCAGAGACTTTCCTAATGGTAACATTTGTATTCATAACTAAAAGGTCTTTGATGTTAAAAACAATCTCCATTTTGTTCATAACAAACTGCACAGCTTTTCACAAAATAATGATCAATTTAATACTACATAAAGTAGTTGTAATCATAACAATTGCTGTCCTCTGTCCCTGTGCACCTGGGATTAAATGAGGCCCCAAGCTCTATAAAGTACACTCAGAAAACTGAACTATATATTGGAAGAACATATACCTGGTCAGGAAGACAAACAGCACCCCCTGCAGGGCTATGCCGTTATTGCTGGCTGTAATGTAAGAGTAGATCTGCACCAGGAACAGGACGAACCAGAAGACACTGAAGAGAACTGGGACAGCAAACTGATTCCACAAGGAAATGACCACTGCGAGCAGTCTGTATGGCTCTAACTGCAAACAGGCAGATAAGGGGAGGAGAGGGTAGGAAAACTGGTTATAGACAGATTTTTTTTAAAAATTATTTTTCTTATTTTACATACTTTGCTCCTTAGGTATGAAGTTCTTTGATGTTAACTTTATGTGAAGAAACATTTATGCGCTGTGCTAGACTTATCTTTATAAAAAAATAACATGATTTATTCCTTTTGTAGAGGTCAGTAAATACTGCAGGCAACGGTCTCCCTTTAGTATTTTAAAAAAAGAACAGCAGTGTTATTATTTTATTATGTAGTCACACTGTTGTATTTCCAATCCATGCCGAACTTCCCTAGAGAAAACCTTAAAGTGCACATCTCTGTAGGCCACACTGCCCAAGAGAATCCACTTTACTATAGGGGTTGGGCAACAGGGAAGGGTGAACGCAGTCTAACTGATCTCCTCTTGTCCTCTTCTCCAGGAGCAAAGATCCCCAATCGCACCTCCCTGTGTGAACTAGACTAACTCCTTGGCGCAGGGCCGGAATGAATTTAAGCACAGTAAGTAGTATACAACAGGGTTTAACCAGATCAATATTAATAAACCTCAAAAACCATAAAAAAAAACAATTTTCTACAGGATTCATAAACCCTCCATTGGCATCCACACCTGCATATTTCACAAGATCAAAATACCCAATCCAGGTGTTTGCGTTTGCTCTGTTTTGAGCTTTGATTTGTCAAAGCTGCATTCACAAAGACAAACCACATTTAAATATGGAAAGGTTATATATAGAAGGTGTACACAGCCTTTCAAAGGTAAGACACTTTGTTGCTCATAGCCTGAAATGGAGACACATTAAATCAGAATTTACATTTCCTTCATCTGCACACTGTAACATACAACCTCCAAGTGAAAAACAAATGCTTGAACATCCTGAAAAGTAATTATAAGTGAAAGCCTAAAAAAGTGGTTGGATAGCTGTATACACCCCATAGTAAGAGCAATTGTGTAACCAACTGCCTTCCAAATCACACACTAAGCTACTAAGACATCACCTACTGTATGTTCAACTACAGTGATTCTAATGATTCAGAATAAAATCGGCTGTTCCTGTCTCCTGTGTTGGGCAGTGCACCTCAAGGTAAAGAGTCACTGTGGGCCTTCCTGTTAAAGACTGGTCAGTGAGTCCATGTCACAACAACACCCCAAGCCCTCCACAACTCTCCACAAGATCCACAGATCTCACAGCGGCAGGCCTTGGTGTAAAACAATCTCACACGTATTTGCATCAAGTCTAAGTTGTTTACAAAATGAAGCAATGAACATAAAATTTAGACTCACAATTCTATTAATTAACCATTGTGTTTTCTGTATGTGAATAAAATAAACCATCAATACAAATAGCATGTAATCTCAATTTCAAAGTGAAAAAAGATTTACTGATTCAACCAGTGCAAACGATACACAGTGCCTCAACAGCAAAAAGAACAAAATAGGTTGATGCAGAGAGAAAATAGCAAATAACACATTTCAAGCACAAAGCTCTTCCTCAGGGAACATCACGGGTACTACACCTTTGATGAACCCTATATACTCAAATGAGTTACTGTAGTCAAATGGCACTCAGAATAATACTATTTAGTTATAATAAAAATATAGCTAGATAGTTTGCAAGCTAATACAGTAATCTAGCTGTTCGATAGCTAGATGGAGGGTGGTGGTTTCCAGCTGGTCTCAGATCTTCCTGCTGGAATGGTGGAGGCAGCCGTCAGTCATGGGGGTTTTTCCCTGCAGCAGGGACTGGGGCAAGGGTCAGCACTGAAGGGAATCTGGATGGAGCATATTACAGACAAAGTGTTGAGGAAACTGTGCTGCCTTCTGCAAGGAAGCTGAATTCGGGAAGGACGTTTATCTTTCAATGATAATGACCCGTACCACACAGTGAAAGCTGCAGGGGAGCTGCTGAAGAACAAGAAGGGTAACGTCCTCAGAGCCCCGACCTCAATCCAATGCCAGTCTGTGGGAGGACTTGAAGGCTGCAGTCCATCTACAGTCCCCTTGCAATCTGACTGAGCTTGAACAGTTCTGTCAGGAGGGTGTGCTACATTGGTACAGACCTATCCAAACAGAATTACATCTGTATTTCAAGGAAAAAAGTGCTTCCACCAAATACTCAGTGTACAGTTATCAAACCCATTTTTAATTTGTAATTTCTTATCAACATGTTGAAACATTTGTTTTTCACTTGGAGGCTGTGTGTTACAATGTGTAAATAAACGTAAAAGGTAAAATAATTCTGATTTAAAGCGTCTTGACTTCAGACTGTTATTGCACAATGTGTTACTCTGGACAGGGTGTGTAGATTTCCTACAGGCACTGCACACACGGAACTGCCCTGTTTGTGCCCTTGCCAGCTGGTGTAAACTAAGAGATTTCGAAGTACACAGTGGCAACGCACGGTAGCAGAGCGTCTTTACCTCGAGCTGCAGGATCTCCCGGCAGGCGGACCGAGCCAGCTGGTAAGGCACAAAGAGGTTGGAGAGCAGGATGATTATCACCTCCACGCCAGTGAGCACCATGGCGAAGGAACTGACCGTGATCAGCGTGGCATTGTGTGCAGAGCACAGGCGAGCTGCCAAGGGCAGCAGGTGGGCAGAGAACAGCCACACCTGCCTGGTCTTCATCAGGAAGGCACAGAGCGTGCCGAGAATGATCTGACCTGCAGACACAGAGATGTCCATATGCACAAGCGGACTGTAACAGCTACCAAACTTCACTGGCTTTCAGTCGGCAGGTACTGACCGGTGCCCACCAAAAACTACATCGGCCTGCAACTCACAACTCACCACCCACTGAAGCTCAGCAGGTGTGAGCCTGGTCAGTACCTGGATGGGAGACCACCTGGGAAAGCTAAGGCTGCAGCTGGGGGCGCTCAATATGTGGTCTGTGTGGGTTCTAGTGCCCCAGTATAGCGACAGGGACACAATACTGTAAAAAGGCACCGTACTTCCGCTGAGACATAAAGCCAAGGTCCTGTCTGTAGTTAATAAAATCCCAGGGCATTTCACAAAGAAAGTAGGGGTGTTACCCCGATATCCTGGCCAAATTTCCCCCTGGCCTTTACCAATCATGGCCTCCTAATAATCCCCATCTCTGAACTGACTTCATCACTCTGCTCTCCTCCCCACTGAGAGCTGTGTGGGGAGTGTACTGGTGCATCATCTAGATGGGGCTGCACACTGGTGGTGGTGGAGGAGAGTCCCCGTTACCTGTAAAGCACTTTGAGTACTTTACTAGTGTCAGAAAAATTATTATTATTATAATAGACCACAGTTTACCTCCAACAATGTTAGATAATAAGTGTCTTCTCGAAACTGTAGGGGCCATCTATAATTCTCAGTGCACAGCAAGAGAGAGGAAGGAGACAAGACGCAATACAAGACAAGAGAGAGGGAAAAAATGAAAAGCTGATGTATTTTCCTGGTTACCAGGTAACAGAGACAATGAGAAGTTAAAAGTGTTTCTTCATCAGGCACAGGCTGACCTTTACTTTCTGACACCTACTTACTTGTCAGCGCCGTGACGAAACGATGGAAAGCGAACGCGTCCAGGTAGACAGCTCCTTCATACCCATGCTGGATCTCTCCACGCACGTAGTCCCTGCCAGCCAGACAAGACAGAACGTACGCTTACAAACTCGGGCGACTTTCCGGTGAAGCTCACTGAACGAGATGGAAACACACCCAACATATTCTCCCAGCCAGTTTCACCTCAGCGGGTGACAGTGCGCAGGAGATACCCTCCAGGGGTTTCACATTACTCAGAGGAACTAATGACAGGCCAGGCTGTTATTTAATGCTTTTTCCTCATTTTAAGTTGGAAACACCACAGTGAATGGAAACTTGAATACTTACAATATAGTCACCCTCCCTTATGCACACATAATGCTTAATGCTGGAAACATTTCCTTTTCCTTCCTTTTTAAATTGCATACTGTGGGAGAATGCCAATACAGGATCGCTCATCTCAACACATGAACCAATTATGTACCCATTTATCAGTGCTATTAATTTCAATATCTGCCTCACAATGGATACAGTAACAACTAAATGCTTGTTAAAAAACATTAAAATGTTACTCAACATACAACAAATTTGTGATGTTTAGGTGGTGAAAATATCTTCTATCACTATAGGAGTCATCAGTTCTCACAGTAACTCATCCTGTAGATGTGCTAGCTCTTATCAGTTTATATCAATTTGTGAGGAAACATATAGATGAGTAGTCATATATATCAAGTAATATAACATTGGAGTGCAGATTTGTTCAGCATAACCCTACTCTGACTGAGACAAAGGAAGCTGCATACGTGACACTGAAAAACAATGTAGTTTTTTTTTTAATGCAATGATTTTTTTTATCTCGGTACATTCATCTTCTAAGCTCTTTTTCCAAGTCAGGGTCAAGGGGAGCTTAACCCACCAAGCATCGAGCACAAGCCAGGACACGTCCCAGAGACGGGACAGCAGTCCATCACAGGGCAGACAGACAAACAAAGACACACAGACTCACACCAGGTAGCCAATTCATCCATCAGTATGTTTTTGGACTGCGGGAGGAAACAGCAGCACCACGAGGAAACTCAGGAGAACACACATACTCCACACAAACAGAGGCACAGGTAAAACATTTAACCCGGGGCCCCAGTGCTGCGAGGAAGCAATGCTAAACACTTTGTCATCGCGTTGGCCTGCCTTGCTAGAAACATCAGAAAACCCAGCCTGCAGCCACACAGACATTGACAACAACGCTGTCCAACTAAAGCTCGCTGGTACAGCATTTCAAGGTTTACCTGGAAATTTGATGTCCAACGTAGAGAAGCAAGGCAGTGAGGATATAGAGGTACAGCTTGACGATGTGTCTCAGAGGCAAGACAAGCACAACCACACTGACCAAGTGACCTTGGAAAGAACAGATCAAGGACATGACTTCCAGAGGGCTGCCATACCCAACACACCACAGATGTGATAATCCAAAGCAACTGGCACGGAACCTACACATGAAACTGTAGCAATAGTCGTGTCTTAAGGGAGCGATCAAATTAGTTGGCAGCTAATTGATCCAAGAACCTCATCCAGCAGGTCCTGAAAGAAGCCAGGGTACCGGTTTCAACAACATGGCTTGGCGGCCTGGTTGCCCTGGAAAACTGTCCCTCACAAGGGATCACGGTTTTCCACAGCTTGTTGTTCTAACTGGATCCCCTTCTGTTGATTCGTCCTACTAAGCAATTATGTTTGCAATTATTCAGCTGCTGTTTTTCTTCAGACGGTCTCATCTTGCTCTTTTCCCTTTCATTACCGACAGGACAGCTATGGGCTATTAAGCCTCTGCCGGCCAGTAATCTATTATTCTGTTCCCACTCCCCTTTCACTCCACTTTCCCTCCGTCCCGGAGCGCTCGAGCCCCAGCCAGTCGGGTCCCTTCAGGTTCCCCCCCGCCCCTCTCTGGTCTCTTCCACTTGGGTTCTGACCAATCACCCGCCGAGCTGTAACAGCTGACACTTAGAACTAGGGCAATTAACTGGACCAATATAGGGACTGCAGCTTGCTTATGGGTACAACAGAAAAGTCTTACCTGGGATTTGAACCTGCAACTTTTTACTTGGGAGTGCAGAACAATAACCACTTCTCCACAGTACTGCCTCACGTTAGCTTACTGGACTTTTTTTTCTATCGGAACAGTAACAGTAGTTAAAACAAGTGTTACTGATCTCCCCTAGCGAGTCCTTTACTTTTTTTTTTAACAAAAAAAAAGAAGAGTACTTCACATCCAGTAACAACAGCTATCATCATTGCTATGATTCTGTTATCCCCTGATCTTGCATTTGCAGGTTAAAATTGCTGATTTTGTCCATGATATAATCACATAGGTAAGAGCACCCTTCACTTCAAGTGTTCCTGTATACTGCATCAAGGATAACACATACTGTTATTATGAATCTGACAGTATACTGTATCTTTCAGGTTTAGCCTGATTGTGTGGTAATAAGTGGTAGCCCATGCTTCCAAATGAATTAACTATAGATAGGATTATGGAAACACCTTAACTGCAGAAATATTCATTGACATGCAGCATTTTAGTAAAAATCTTGTTCACCACCTGCTAGGATGAATGAGAAATAGACAAGATTACATAAACGTCGTATTATCATTAGTGATAAACTGTTGCAAAAAGCAGTATTATGAAATTAATCTGTCATTTGAATGTCCTTTACAATAAATGTCAGTATATATGCACATCAATGGCCTCAGTGATTGTAATGTAGGAGAAATACTTGGGTGAGGTGATGATATCCTGTGTATAGAGACATGGTGGGGTTGGGGAGGTTGCACTGTTTTTCATCTCGCATATTTCTGAGGGACTATCATGCAAACCAGACTCTAAACCAGCGCCCTTTGCTGGTCCTAGCAGAACTAAATGGTGCTCATAGGGTCCTGACATTAGTGCGAAGGTTTTTGAGAATTATGTCTGAGGGTTGGTGCGTCGGGGCAAGAGAAGGCCAACTGGCAAACAGCCTTTTCTGTGACTCCGTCATTCGTGCCTGTGCCGCTAACCAGAGCCCGTGTAGAACACGCTCCCGGGCCGTGGTGCGCCTGCTAACGTCAGCCCTCTTGCAAGCCGCTGTACTTACCCAGATAATACACATTCCAGATGACATATTTGTACTTGAACAGCATGTCTTCGTTCCTCGCCTTCAGCTGCTCGGTGAAACTCTCAACGTCACATTTGTACAAGAGGTCTAAGACCATAATGCTGGGAACTCTCAAGGCGACGTTTGCAATTTCCTCCAACCGCGGCATTTTAAAAAAATAAAATTTCCGCGCTATTTAGAATTTCCTTTCCTGTTCCGCATGATTCACCCGTACGGATAAGCAGTTCAGAGTTGCGAGGAGGCCTTCTTTAGGCCGAGTTCAGAAAAAGCCATTCAATTTTTTTTTTCATACTTCTTTCGCCGAGTCCCCTGCATCACGTCATACCTATTTACACCTGTTGCCGAAATAAACCCAGGCGGGAGGGGACAAAATACGGCTTTTGTGGTCAGGTCAAGCGGAGGCTGTGTCGTTTCTAGCGCTTCCCACATCCGAGTCAAGCGTATTGAAAGCTTTCGCAAGCCGCAGTTTTAGTAAGGCTTGCGAGAGACACGGCCCTGGTAACAACCAGCTTTCTCTCAGGGCTCGGCTCCACTCCTCCTCGGCTCGGCGGAGCTGTCAGCTGCCGCAGGCGGTGTTAAGCACCGTGTTACACACGCCAGTCGCTTGTTATGACAGTAATCATGGCTACGCGTGCAAATCCACGTTTTTTTAAAAGGTGCAGGAGGGACGGGTTCGGTTTCTCCTCGGAAAACCGGCACACATGTTGAATGATCTAGAGCGAGTATCCCTAACAGCTGGTCCTCAGGTCGGAAACACTCACTCTTCCTGAACCCCGGACAGCAATGACGGTGAAATACGACGACGTCGCAAGTTGAAAACGTAATTTCCGGTTTGATTTTGAGCTGTTTTTTTTATTTTTCAATGCTTTACTTATGACCATAAACAGAACACATACAACAATAAGTTAACGTCGAACAAAATAATGTATACATACATCATAAGAATAGTCCTGCTTTCTTGAATAGTTTTTGAAATAAAATCCAATTTTTATTTTAATACAGATTTATATTTGGAAGAAGACTTTGACCATTTTTTATGGATACGATATCTCCCGATTAGCAGTAGGATTATTATAAATATAAGCTTATGGTTCATATTCCAGCGTGTAAAAGTAAGGTGTCATATCAATTAAAAGAAATCTTCATATTTAAACATCTTAGTAGGAAATGTTCTGAGTCGCTACAAAACATTTTGGTAGAACAAATAAAGTATGTCTTCTTTATTCATGTTACAAAATACACATTGGTCATCTAATTCGAGTTTGATTCTGGATAATGTTTGTTAAACAGGACACATTTTATAACTTTATGTGAGACTTCTTTAATTTTATTTGTAAGACAATAAACATTTTCTGTTTTTTCCCATATTCTCTGCCAATATATAATATATTATATTATTAAAATTTAAGTTCCAATAAGTGTTTGCAGTTGGAAGGTATGTTGGTAAACGTAGGTTTCTAATAGAATTATTGTTACATTTTTCTAAAATCTTCACATCACCCAATAAGATTCTAGATGTTAATTGATTCGTTGAGTAATTTCTGTACATGTTCTGTTGTTACCCTAAGGAGAAACTCCCCTACCATCCAATACTATTGCCTATTCTTTTGGGCGTAACTGGAATCTTAAAGGTCTCCAAAAATTCTGCAGATTTCTCTCCCAAACCTCTCTGTCCGCGCTGCTGCATGTTACTTAGTCTGTGTAGAATACGGCCGTTTCCCCCCGGACACGTCGTGCTTTTAAAGGGTAAAAGACAACCCATTACGCAATACATTCAACGCGTCGCGAACGCCCTGACAAACGCGTTTAACCGGTTTTGGTCCTTAAATCTCTATCCGGGAGAAATGTTTTAACCCTCTTCAAACGTCCGGGGTTTCTCTTCTAATTTTCGATTCGGACGGGCTTGTTGGGAAGAGGAGAGTGTCGATGAGTAGAGAGAGGGATTGTGTGTTGATTGCGGTTGTCGTGGAGTTGTCTGGTTCGCCGCCCCGCTCGGTTTGTCATTCCGACAGAACATCTGGACGAGAAACAAAGCCACATGGGTGCCCATAAAACGGCCTGTCCCGAAAGCACCGTACTTTCCTTGTGTAAAACTCACGTTTTACGTCAGTTTCTCATAGAGCTGGTGCTTCATGAAAGTACTGGGACACCAAAAACAGGATTTTGCCAAGTTCTACAATTTTTGTCGTCGGGGTCTCTGTACATCCTATTTATATTGCTATGACTGATGCTTATAAAAAGAATGTGAGCAGCTGGGCATTGAAGTTTTTAATTGCATCTAAGATCTTAATTAAACAATTGAGACATTCCCGGTCTTAATCAGTCGTAATGAGTCAAGGAACGAGTAAAGGTTTATTCCACGCTGAAAGGACAAGAAAAGAAACATAACGTTTCGGGTGTGGAGCCTTGTTCAGGTAACAATGTCGTGAGTCAAGGTTAACTGAACTGAGAGATGAATCGGAACTCGCCGCGGCCACCTCTGAGAAGACTGAGGCTCTCCGGAAGAGGTCACGTTTCCAGTTCGCACCTGCTGGCCTCAGTTTCTGAGTAGAGCTTCTTGTGCTTGGTTCCTCCTTGCCCTCGGTAGTAAGTGTGGTGTGTGATCAGAGTTAAACTACTACATCCCGATTCTCGCCCACGTACCTGTCCCCGTGCTAGTGCAATTATCAGACCTAAGACGTGTTAGACGCTCAAAGATGAAACAATCTGGCGTCCCGTCCAGGGTGTATCCTGCCTTGCGCCTGCGGCGTGCTGGGACAGGCTGTGTCTCATCTGCGACCCAGAGTTGGAAGAAACGGTGAGGAAGTGGATGGATGAATGTTTTGGTTTGGTTCATGCGGTTGTTTCTTATATCTTGTCCACAAGAGGGCAGTAAAGCACTACGTGAACGAAAGGACCCGTGTATACATGCTGGAACTGCGCCAGGGTTTTTACAGCGGTGGTCTTGTTGGCTTCTAATGCTCCTGTAGTGAACCGGTTGTAAGAACTGATGCCGATTAAAGAAGACCGTCGCGAGAATAGTTCTGACTGCTCTCGCTTTGTATAGGTGGATTTCACCTCTGATTTATATGTGGGTTTCCTTTTCTGAAATACACCATTTCTGAAAAGTTTACCGTTTGTTTTCATGGTACTTTGAGCTAGGCAGATATTTTAGGACTACATGGTGTAGGCTTTCTGTTCCACTAAGGTTTCCAGCACAGGCAGGCTTCAGATGAAATGCCCCAAGGCTTCCTCTGGCCTTTATACAAAAGGTTTGTACACCACAAGACAGCTTGAGGTTGTTGTACAGATGCTCGCAGTGCAGCTTGGAACACACCTAACAGAGCTTAGAGTATACTAATCAGCACAATAAACATCATTTCTTGCCTGTACATTGATCTACATGTCAGTGGCAGTAAGTTTTGTCACTAATTGGATTTTTTATCAGCAAAGTTTTAATGCTCTCATTGATACCTTTGGAAATCCCCATAAATAAGACCATTCAAATAGGCCGTACAAATGTGGAGGTGGTTTGGTCCTTCCAGCCTGTTTGGTAGTTAGTAATTAATGGGTCTGAGGATCTCCTTGAGCTGTTTCTTGAGGGGAGTCAGGACACCGGCTTCAAGATGCCAGATTCCAACTGCAGTCAGACGTGAGTGAGGTGACGCAGCTGTGAGATGCCAGCAGCCCACTACACAGCAGATCAGGAGACAGAATGAGAAATTAGGGGGAACTGTGGGTCGTCAGGTCATGTAGCACTAGACCAGACTGGACTGTAGCCGGCACACCTCTGTCAAACAGTGCCCTTGGACCTAGGAGGGCTCTTGCAAGTAGTCAGGACCTCAGTCAAATGTCTGATCCGCTAAACAGCACTCCCTGCAGTGCAGTGTCCCCACGCCGCGATGGGGAATCGGCCAGATTATTCTGTTACAGAGAGAAGAGCACCACCTACTGGTACACCCACTCCACTTACAATAGCACCTCGCTTTTCCCGAGAGCTCTCCCATCCCAGTGCCGACCAGGAAGAGACAGACGAGATGGGGCTGGAGGGTGAGAAGACTGCTGATGCTGTCATTAGGCTTCGATCTGGTTTTGACACCTTCTGCTGCTCGCTCCAGACACGCCTCGTCTCCTGGGATCCGTTCTGCTGCCAGCTCCTGCCAGTCCTTTGCTGAACAGTTCCTGTAATGTGTCCAGGCTGCCGCTGCCGTTTGAACGGTCCTCAGCGTCGCGGGTCCTTGTTCTCTGATCCATGTTATATCGTCTACTGTCTTTTCCTATCTTGTTATCCTGATCAGGCATCACAACTGAGTGTTCAGGGCAGCTTTTACCAGAAAACAGCCCTTAGCCCAGAACGCAGCTCTGAAAGGTCAGTTCAGAAGGCCTGTTTTTGCTTGGCAGGCATTATCCCCTACATGGTATCCCAGCATGTGATGCCGACTGTGAATTATGAATGGTTGGGATAAGCTAATGGGATGACAGTGGAATTGCTTAGAAGGGATTTTGAACAAATGGAAGAAGTTTTCCCAATTTAACAAAGAAAGCTAAAGGGTGCGTGACTGTGGTTACCTTTTCTGTGATGCTGAAATGTTTTTTTCTGACACATGGAACCAATTTTTTGTGAACATATTGTTACAGCTTTATGCGACTTAGAAGTGTCTGTTAGATTTAAGATAAAGTCTGAAAGTAGAAATTTCAGAAAGTTTGAAGTTCGAAGAACCTCTAACTTCAAAGAAGAGAGGATGTTTGCTGAGGTGTGGGGTTCCCTTGAACACGAACAATAGGAAAGTTTATCTTGGTACACCTAGGCAGGTTGTGGATTAATGATTGCAAAGGAGTAGGGCAGAAAGACACAGTATAGGTTCACCTTAAGAGCACAGGAGAGGAGGAGAGGCAGGAGGAAGGAAAAGAAGCAGGAAGAGAAGGAAGGAACTAGGAGAGTAGGGAGAAGAGAGAGGAGTCCGGAGGAGTGGGGACTTGAAGCTTGCGCCAGGCGAGAGCTCCTACTTCATGAGCATCCAAATCAAACGTGACTGGAATGAAGAATTTGATTCTTATTCCAAAGAGTGTGCTTTTCTGTGCTTTAGGGAACTTGGGTTTCCTGAGTAAAAGACACCTCACTTAGAAACATCTTTGCTGATTAGGGTGCATTCTATGGATAGGGATATAGTCTCCAATTTATTTTGTGGCATCCGGGGTGCAGAGAGAGAGATTTAACTGCAGGTTGTATTGTATTGTTAGAAAGCAGCTCATCTCTTCTGTGGCCTCTGTAGGCATATTAAGACTTCAGTGCTTAGTAGCAGTCTGGGGTTTCTGGGTGACTCTGAAACATCATGTCTGTAAATACTGTATATAATGTAACTATGTGTGTATTGTAGTTTATTGTAATAAATATTGGTGATAAAAAACCAAGTGTGCCTGGATTATTGCTCCTCTCAACAAAGCTGTGCCAGAGAATAAAGAATTCACCTGCCTCTAGTTAGACCAGCCGCTCCAGTATATGGTTAGAAATGACCTTCTAGTTGGGGGTTATGGATAATTATTTCACTTATTGACTAAAGTGCTTGGTCAATTCCTGATTTTCACCAGTTTCATAACCCCCATTTGTAACAGTATTTTATTGCATGATACAATACCCACAATACAGAATTCAATCAAGAACATCACACCATGATGCAACAAGTAGCAAACCCCCCAGTCTCAGGCTCTATCCCTCCCAGAATGGCACTCGAGCCCTCTCAGTCGTACAGTCCAGTACATCATCCACAGCCAGGCAACAGATAAAACAGCAGTACACAGATCAGTGACAGAAAACAGATAAGGAAGAAACAGAAGAATGCAGATAGATTTGGGAAAAGAAAGAGGAAGGAACGAACGTGGCAGGACATGTTTTGTCATCTCTGATGAAAGCAGGCCCGCAGCTCGCGCTGGAACGCTTTCACTCAGTGAGCCTGAAAACCACGACGTGTCGGCTCAAGCCATTGTGTTTTCTTACTCTTTTTTTCTCTCTGAAAAGCAAGCTCTGCCTTCCTCCATATGTTCGGTTCTATTGCCTATAGGTGTGAGCAGAATTTAGATCCTATATGCAGATCTTTAATTCCTGTTATTAGAAAATCATGTCGTCCAAATTCTCTTACTATCCCTTACATGCAGTGCAGTTGCAGAGATAATAGTCTTTTCCCATTTCATCCTTTTTATTGCTACTGCTACTCTTATTTTTACTTACATTTGTACTCATTTAAACAGCTGGGCACTTTACAAAGCAATCTGAGCAAAGTGATTTGCTCAGGGGTACAGCTATTATGTCTTATTAATGGAGAAATGCTGGCCAATAATTTGCGTCTATTATGACAGCTCTCATGGTTAATGGACCTTTTTCCGTGGTCTCTGGATACTGTATTGCCCTCTGGGACTGATGTTTTGTGTTTCTGTTGAAATTCTTTTTTTCTCACTATGGGAGTGCTGTAGTTGTTGACCTTTGACTCCTGTTGCTGGGTTGGCCTTGAGCAGGGTGTGAATACATGAGCCATCTGGGTTTGGAGAGCTTGCCTGGCTGCAGGAGAGAGCTAGGATCAGTTAGTATACTGATAACAAGGCTGTCTTTCCTCTCAGCTAGAATTGCACTGCTCTTTTACTACTCCAGTGAGACCAGTGGAGCTCTGACCCTGGGCATGGGCTGCTTTCATCCCCTGAGCAGGTGATCACTGATGTCCACTGATGCCTTTATTGCTCTACCTGCTTGCTCAGGCATTTGATTTTCTTTCCTGGTGCCAATTAGCTACCAGCTATCAAACGACCCAGGTGGACAAATGGCTTCCTCTTGTCTGCAGCAAGAAGCACAGGTTAATTAAACACTAACAAAGTCAAAAGAACAAAACTCAGTGCTGCATCTTCAACTGAAGCCTGAAGAAAGCTCCACACATAAAGCTGATTTATTTTTTGGTTCAGTGTGAGATTAATCTCCAGGGTGCTGTCTGTGTGGAGTTTGTATGTTCTATCCATGTTTGTGTGGGTTCCATCCGGGAGCTCCAGTTTCTCACACAGTCCAGAGACATGCTGGTAGGCTAATAGGCTTCTGGGAAAGCTGGCCCTGTGTGTGTCTGTGTCTGTGTGTGTCCAGCGATGGACTGGCCGTCTGTCCAGGATGTGTCCTGCCTTTCTCCTGTTGCTTGCTGGGATAGGCTCTGGCTCCCCCTCAGCCCTGTACTGGATAAAGTGGTTAGAAACTAGATGCATCTGTGATGAGTGATTCAGACACATTCAAAGTGCTTCGTTGTTAATGGAACCCAACAGCAGCTCAATGCAGTATGGGCACCACTGAGTGGCCACACGTTGTCTGTGTGGCTTCCAGCAGTGCTGTGGGCTGGCACAGCTCGCCATGCTGCAGAGTCCACCTTCCTCCAGCATCCTGGGGTTAAGAGAGATGGGCTGTTCAGTCACTCTTTCACCAGCAGAAGAAAGAGCAGGTATTCCTTATAGAGAGAACAGCGCTCTATTAGAATTTGAACTCCTTCCATCTGGGCATCGATTTAGACTGCCTAGTTTCAAATGCAATAGAAGTAAGTTTTCTTTTATTCTGACAGCTATTAATCTTCTTAATTTATGAATTGGATTGTGTATTTTACTTTATTTCTGTTTTTATTTTTTCTTTCTCATATTACACATATGAGTTCAATTATAATTGGTTAATGGCTAATGGGTTCAATTATAATTCCCTCTGAACACTGATTCAGATGTCCCAATTTAAATACAGTTTCAAGTTCTCCTTTATACCCGTGGCCATAACCTGCTCATGTTTACGTGTGTTGTTTGGTTGTGTTTTTCTTTATATTGTCAGCCGTTGTAAA